CTCAGACTTTATAAAAAATTTAAATACAAATGACATATCATATATTTTGTACATGTACATTTATTGTGCAGTTTATGTTGTATGGAAAATTTTGAAACAGTTTCAATCCTTATTTAAGACATAAAGCTAGAGCACATTTTTCACATCCAATAAATGTTTGGAATTTGCAATTTGGCATTTTACTACGAGTGCGTTTTTTTTGTACCACATGGGAATGTGTTGAATTTTATCCTTTCTGACGCAGATTGGAGGAATGTTTGATGCAGGGCCTCTCTGTCTTTTCACACTGTAATCATTTTGTAAAAGACCGCTCGGTCTTCCATGCTTAGGAACTGAACCTTTCACACATTTTGCACAATCCAACGGATTGCTCAACTCGAAAGGCGGCAAGAGTTAGCAAATCCTTCGGGTTGGCTCCATTCTATAGTAACACTCTTTTGTACAGCAGCCACGCATTTATGACCGGAAGGTCTAAGAAGTAGTAAAAAAAGTCTAATATACCCCTTTGTTGATCTCAGAGTTTTTTTGTATCATTCTGTTTAGTTAACCAGCAAATCTATGCCTCCCGATATGTTTGTTGTATCATTTCGCAACATTTGGGCAGTCCACAGTAACTGTTTTTTTTTTCCCTATTGAATCTAGATATCTGTTCAATGGGGTGTTTACCAGCAAATGTAGACAACAGAAGCACATTCTTATTATCTTTCCAGAATAAATTACATATTTCAGTTCCACCAGTCTGCAACGTATTCAAAACTTGTTCCCCTCGACTTTTTCTTCGGTATCTCATCTGTAGGGAGCTCGCAACCTGGAATTCTGTTCCTACGCACAGTTCTCAAACAAAGAATGCCCTCGTTAGCTAAAAAGTTCATTACTTCAATTGAAGTATGAAAGCTGTAAAAATACAATTTGAAATTTTGATGTCGAGAAATCTCTCTACAGAAGTCAATCACATTTTCACTGACTCCCAGTTCTGCCTCATTTGTTAAGCAATTGTGAGGTAGATTTTCTTGGCCTGAGTATATCTCAAACTTGTGAGCAAATCCATCGAGTCCACATAAAAATGGTTTGAAAACAATTAATTCAGTAAATGAACATAAATAAAAGAATTTTCAATACAAACAAACAATATACATACTACATAATTAGAGACATAAAATTAATATATTATGACTAAATAATAATAATGCATGCAAATATCGAGTGGGTATTACTGATATTAAAATAAGCATGAAACGAAAGGTATTATGAAGACTTATAATTAAAACTCCACTCTAAATTTTAACCTGATTCAAATATGCATCAAACTGCATTCTAGGGTGAAGCCTAATCATAAATACATAGTGATGCATGTATGAATCAAACAGAAAAATTGAAATATTTCATTTTAAAATAATTCTGTGGTTAAATCTTAACATAGAAATGAAAAATACATGCTATCAGCTATATGGAGTAAAATCTTTAAGCCTCTAATATCGAATTAATGAATACCACAAATCTAGCTTGATCACTGAAAAAAAAAAGAGGGAATGAATTCTGTGGTCTTGGCACAAATGAAATAAAGAATACAGTTTTATACTGCCATGTACTAAGAAAAACTACCGCTAAACATAGATATGGATATATTAAGATAAAAATCAATCCAGTAAACCTTCTGCTTTATAATTTTTTTAATGCTAAATTCAGTAAAAATTGGTATGATTCATACTTGCCTTGAAGAGCTAAGAAATGCATTTTGAGCAAGAATCGCTGTGTCGTCAGCATACATTGCTACTGTAGTGTTGGGTGTGGTGGGTATACTGTTCACACACATATTGAAAAGTGTAGGCCCAACGAGTACTGGCAAGAATTTCTATGAAACAGAATGTAGAGCTCCAAAGAAATAATAATAAATGAAAAACTAAATTACATACTTTGAATATTCATTTGATTTTATGTCCTACAGCAACAGTTATTATGTATGTTGTGTTTTGCCTCATTTAAATTATTTTCTTTGAATATTCATTTGATTTTATGCCCTAGTGCAACAGTTGCTATGTAAGTTGTGTTTTGCCTCAAGTGATTCAAAACAATTCTAGGTTTTATTCAGCAAGCTTCTCAATTTAACTACACAGTTATCTTGAAGGATTTTTAGTTTTAAGTATAAACATGATACTGTAATCTTATCCAAGAGACTGCGTTATGAAAATTTTGGCACATTTGCAAAACAGATATTAGCAACTTAATGTAGATTTCAATGCTAAGTGACAACTAAGTTATTTTTTGAATGTAAATGAATTTTTAATGTTGTTTCATGAAGTACGTTTTTAACTGTTCGGATGCTGTGTATGATAATGACTTGAAGTACAGAAAAAGCTAGCATGATGAATTTAAGGACTTAAAAGTTAGGCTCTCCAGCTAACACGTAAGACTTGATGAAAATTAACTTCGAATATTAAGTACAGTATACAGTTCGAAATCCAGACCTCAAACCACGAACGTTTTTCTCGTAGGCTTTATGCATGTGCATTTGATCCCCCCATCAGCGCATAATAAATCATCTGGAGAGTACCAATTCTTAATTTCACATCGACACTAAATTAAATACCTTGTTATTGAAGAAACAATCATTTTAGCATAAATTTGTACCAACAATAATTTGGTTCCGTTGCTGCGTATCTGTTTGGCACACCTCTCAAACCGAAACATTCCATATAGATACATCGTTGATCTGATACCAACCTGGGGAATCATTATTTATTATACTTTCATCACTGCATGTTTATCAAAACATGACAACTTGAGTAACAACTTATGTAGCAATGCCTAAACAACTTTTTATGTTAGTAATTGAATAATAAAAGAGTATATGGTAACTTTTATGTTGACATACGCTTGGCGATGATTACAGATTTAAAGTATTGCACTAAAAAATGTTGACAAGGAAAAATTTACTAAAATTTCTTTCCACGTGCAAAAAAAATTTTACTGATGATACTCATGAACCAAAGATGACATTTAGGGCTATTTGAATTAAGAATAACTGATTTTTAATCGCATATAAACCCAGAACAGTGCCAGGGCTCGTATGGCCGCCGAGCGCAGAATTTAGGAACCCACAGGCTGCATCAGGTGTACTAAGATATCTAGCCAGCTGTCAATAAGTTTAATATATGTGGGAATTATTTATTCAGAACTGATGATAAGCAATAGACATAAGTATAATAAATAACTAAACTAATACAATTCAGGTTAATTGTCACAGTGCGCATAGAAGCGAGATATAAATTTAACGGAACAACTTGTCATTAGTCGCCAAGCGCATGATGCATAGCCAAATATGTATAGTGAAGGATAGCTAAATTTGATGATGATAGCCACTATTTTAAGGTTTTCGGATATCAAAAACAAAGGTGAAATTTACAATTAACAGATTTTTGTAAGAAATTAGAGAAGCAGTAATAAATGAAGATGATATAAAAGAAGTTTTCATTGTGATGACAATGCTTCTCAATCATCAATCATTAACGAATGGCAAATCTGTAGTATGGTTCTAGATCCAGAAAATACCGCTCCCGATATGAGAAGAAAAGTGACAGAGAAGTTACTGAAACGAAAATTTCGATTGACAAGTTAGTCGGAATTCTCAAACAGCAGTTACAGGACTTCAACAATGTAATAACAAGAGATTATGCTGTCTACAGAATTAAAGAGAAAGTATTAGCACAAAAACAAAACTTAAACAACTTACATTGAAAGAAATGTTTAATAAGGTAATTAAATATTAAGCTTTTTTTTTTTTTGTAAATTTTGATGTCCTTTAGATCATAAATACTTCATGATTTCATATTTTTAATTTCATAATTTCTACATGCCATTTTATTAGATTTAAACTAATGATCTAATATCCGGAAAAATCCCAAATTCGTAATTGCCGAAGTCCCGATTTTGGACCTTTGTACTGTACCGTCTTTAATAGAGAGTCATAAGATCTAATATGTCTATGCTATTAACACGTAGGATTTCGGTTAGCAGGTAGTTTGTTGAAAAGTTCACATTTTCCACATATTTGCATACATTACAATGCCGGTGAATAGGGGTAAGAAACTTAGTTTATAGGAAGCAAAAAGTTAAAAAGCTGATGAAGTTGTAAAATGGCAAGTTAAAAAGTATGAAATGTGAAATATATATTTGCTGAACTATTTTCCATTCCAGATGCCTGGAAGGAGACAACCGAAGGATTGAGATAACACAAAGTTTTGCGCAACAAAACTGAAACTTGTGTCAAAGAAAATTTTAATTTTGTTTTAGACAATTATCTCCATGATTGTAAAAGTTGGCTCATGTAGTTGGTTTAGAATTTAAAATCTAAGTAATGCCGTTAAAGTCCTTCATTGTTATTACTTAAATTCTGGTGGTGAAAATTGTAGGAATTTTATGTTAGTTAACCAGCTATTTTTAATTTGTCTTTACTTCTCCTTTCCACATTTCTCTCTAGAATACAAATTAGCACATAGCCAGTATGTAAACTGAGCTTTTTGGATTTTAAAATAGAGCATATTTCTAGCATTGCGTATAGATGCCACGGCTACGAAATTTGGTAATAGGTTGTCTAGATGCACGTATTACCAAATTTCTCGTAGCCGTGGCTCTATTAGCTTACACGCAGCGCGAACGAAAGACACACACACACAGACAGACTCTTTCTTTTATTATATGTAGAGATAAATGACTTTAAATTTTCTGAACTTCAGTTTTTAAATGCATGAGAACAATAGACATGATGAAAATACATTGTTTTAAAACTTTCGAAAGCTGAATCTGCAAACGATTTCTTTTTAATTTCTTACCCATTATTTTGGCACTATCTTATCACCAGGTTTGAAATATAAAGAAGCTTGAAATAAAATGCATCTGTTATGTCAAGTTTAATAATTTAAATATACTTCAAGGTATTTCAAATTTTTGTTCTATTTAACTGTTTCACAATATGTGACATAAAAGCAAAAAGAAAAAGCAGCCAAAGTAGAAAAATCTTTATTACAATAATAAATTAATTTGTTAACTCAATTAAAGCTTCAACAACATCTCCATGGTGTTCTCTTAATTTTAATTCAGCTAAATTTCTTGATATTTCCATTTCTTGCATCTAATAAAGATAACAAACATTTTTAATGACTCAAAAAAAAAAAAAAAGTATGATTATGCATGAAAATGAATATCGTGCATGAAATATTAAGATTTGATGTACAAATAAAATTAACATTCAAAAAGAAACTGAAGAAAGAAAGGTGTCACTTGATATGGACACTAAAATAATACACTGAAAAGCATTAAGATCATAAAAATTTAAAAAGGATTGCTAGCAGATAATACTAGCTAGTTTCAATACTCCTTTCTCAAAATGCAAAAAAATACATTTTTGAATTTCATAAGCTTTCCATTAAAACAAAATTATTACTACCTAAAATTAATGTTATGACACTGTTACTAATATCTGTTGTCTTTTTTATGTTATGCTAAGCTGAAATCCAGTCAATATGCCTGCTTTTGTTGGCAAAATATTGGGTCATCCAGAAAGTTCTGCAGCCTTTCAAATTGCAAGATGTTTTCTTATAATTATTCTAATACTGCTTATATGGAATGATTGGATTGACGGAGATATTTAAATACAGTCTTTTCTGCTCATGTTGCAAAATTCTGGCATATGTAGTGGATTAATTTTTTTTTCAGTACAGTCCTAAGAGCAGAGAACCAACTATTTCATTTTATTTTTTTATTTTAAAAAAGCTGAAAATGCAGGTTAGGCCTGCTTATAAAATGTGTACAGTAAATGGACAAAGTGCTGTTTCTGACGACACAGTCAGGTGGTTGTTTAAAGTTCAAGAGCACGAATTTCAGTGTTGAAGATGACATCCACTCTGGACAATCATCTTGTGTAAAGAAGGACCAGTTAAAAGAACCGTAGATGAAAATCCACATCATACAACTCAGGAACTATGAGACAGACTAAATATTCCAAAAGTAAAGCACACGATCATTTGAAGATGACTGGATATATAAGTAGTATGATGTATGGGTACCTGCATCCCCAAAAAATAATGCTTTGGCAGAACTATGCCATATACTACGAATTTTTGCCACCACATCAGACAAATTAAAAATGGGGGAGGGAAGAAAAACAAATTCTCAAATGACAGTTTTAAAAGCAGAAATCGAAGCACAGCATGTAGAACTAAACAATCACAGAGGTGTTGTCTTCTACCATAACCGCCCCACATTTCGATGAATGTTGAAAACTTACTGAGTGAGGGTGGCATGTTTTGTATCATGCCCTAAACCCCATATTCATTAAACCTTACCTCCTTGGATATTCATCTCTTCACGTCATTGCAAAATTGCCTGAACAGCCTGGAGTTCATTTCTTTTGTCAAACAGTTCTGCAATAACTTCTTAATGAATAAACCAAATGACTTTTCAAAAAGGAATTTTCCAACTTTCGGGGAGATGGCAATATGGCATAGAACACAATGGTGCTTATGTAATTCTATAGGTGCCAACCTTGAAATCTGAAAAATTGGGAGATTTTTGCAAGAAAGTTGGGAGAACAGGGTGATTTTCATGTTATGTGATGATGCCATGTCACATGTTATATTTCATGTTATGTGATGACGTCATTATAAAGGAGCTTCAAACACATTCATTTCATTATGTATGACCCATTATTGAAAAATTTCTAGTAAAATTCTGACATAAAATACATTAGTATTTACTTAGATGTTCTAAATTTCATCTTTTTTTTTTTTTTTTTTTTTATTTCTTTTCCACTGAAAAAACCCGATACGCAAAGTCTTATCCGGACTCGTCGGACTTGGCGATTCCGGATTATAGATCATCATTTTAAATCTGGTAAGATGGCATGCAGAAATTATAAATTAAAAATATGAAACCGTTAATTTATGAAATAAAGAGCAATTATGATCTAAAGGGTATCAAAATTTAAAAAAAAAAAAAAAAAAGCTTAATATTATTTGTTTACTTTATTAAACATTTCTTTCAA